TGTGGAAACTTCCAAATGTATTTCTCTGATTAAATCAAAACACTTTTATTATTATTATTATTATATACATTGTTCTTAATATGAAAAACAGAAGTTTCATGATCATCAGGCATTTACTTGTCTTAACTGTTTGAATTATATCAAGAAATCAAGATACCCAACCTTTTCTTTGACAATTTTGTAAGCTTATATCATTGAGGTACAAAATGATTTTGAAGACATACATCCACCAAAGTCAACACCACATCATGTGACTCGGACACGTTGGAAATTCTTGCCATGTCATTCCAACAACCGTCGTGACTGAATTCAAATTTTAATCGTACCAAGTGAACATGCATTTGATGTACTGCTAAAAGGGCACAGAAAGATTTTATGCACCTTTAAAACAGAATTTTTTATTTAAGAAAACTTACGCTGCGATTCATAATCAATATAACGCATAAATCCCTATCTGAGATATGAGTTTGAAATATATCTGAAAAAATATCAAGCTCTGATTGGCTGGGCAGAACGTATCATGTTGTATCAAGGCAGAGGAATACAAACTGATGCAAACTGAAAAGATATTCTAACAGCTTCCAATAATATGCACATTAAGGGCAAACATATATCGAAGTGTATCAGTGTTTAAGGTTTCAGAAATGCCACAAAAAAGGTCTGTGTGTGCAACTTGTGTGTGTGTTTATACAGGTGTGAGTATTTGTGCAGGTATGTGCGTGTAGACATAAATATATACATACATAAATATATATAAACATTCATATGTAAATTTAGGAGAAGCTCCTGACAAACAGAAAAATAACATCACCGGATTGTAATACCTTATAAGATTTAGATATGTTCACTCTCCTTGAAAACTTCTAACACTTCACGAAAATGGTTAAAATAGTTAAAAATAAATGCAATATGAATAATCAATATAAAACGCTAGTATTCACTCCCATTCTGCCACAGTGAGGGAGCTTTCAAATCCCAACGTTTTTTTTTTTTTTTTCGCTTCTCAAAGTTAACTATGCCCCTACTTAGTGAGGCCCCTAACAATGAAATCACAACTTTACATAAGAGAAAACTCAGCTATGTAGCATTATGGTGCAGAATGATTCAGACATTATGAAAACCAAGAGCATGTGGTACCTCATGACAGAACAGAGTCACTACAGGATATAAACGAAATTTATTAACCCATTGCCGCCGGGGAAAATGAACAAAAAATGGGGGAAATGCAGTACTCATTTTTTATATTTTTGTGAAATATCTCTGTCCATAGATGGCTCTGCTAGTCCTGATTTCATCTTTCCTTGAATTGGCGGGAAAAAACGTATTCTTACTAGAGCTATAAATATAGATGGTGTCATTTTTAACAGCAAATTAGGTTAACGTTAGACATTTTCGTAAATCGATGAAAAGGGTGAACGGGCGAGACAGGCAATACTCGTAATTGGCTCATTGGATACTTATTACAAGTGTAGCCATCTATGTGTAAAAACAATCGAACAAGTCGACTCACAGTGGGCATGGCATGTACGTACATGCCATCCCCGGCGGCAATGGGTTAACAGAGCTGTTTCATACAAGACCAAACTGCTGTACAAAAATAATAGAGGAATGATAAAACTTACACCAGTTGTTGAGGATAACAGCATATTTTAAAAAGGAATTTTTACATGAGGATATTTTAATATTAGCCACTCGAAGCCGCTCTGCCATGATCATGAATTCTATATAATAGTGTAATAATAATAACAATAATAATAATAATAATAATAGTAATAATAATAATAACAATAACAATAATAATAATAACAAAGATAGAACAAGACACTGGATCACAGGGATGAAATTCTGCTGAAATATAAAATTACTTATTTGATTTTATAAAATTTGTGACACCATATCTTAGCATTCATAATATCAACTCACTGGCTGCAGATGACGTGGCTTATGTGCTGTGTTCACTGAAATTTTAGTTGATTTATTATCTTCGCACAGAAATGTCTCCATAAGTGCTTAGTCATCAATGGGTCAATTTTAGTCCTACCTACGTAACCTGTTTATGATTTGTTTTTATTCTATTATTTGTATTCTAATAATCATAATAGCAATAATAATAATAATAATAATGATAATGATAATGATAATGATAATGATAATGATAATGATAATGATAATGATAATATAATAATAATAATAATAATAATAATAATAATAATAATAATAATAATAATGATAATGATAATGATAATGATAATGATAATGATAATGATAATAATAATAATTACAATAATGATAATAATAAGAGTAATAAAAATAATAATAATAATAATAATAATAATAATAATAATAATAATAATAATAATAATAATAATAATAATAATAATAATAACAGATTCAGGGAATGGAGAAACCAGGAGTGAACATCAGGGCCTACTAACAGACTCCTTGGGTGACTGAGCACTAGTGGAGCAATCTGTGTGCCACACAAATCACGAAAAAAATAAAAAAAAATAGTGAATGCTACGTGTGTCTGCAGCCAGTGAGTTGAAGTGTTATTTGTAGATTTGTACTTATTTCTAAACAGATGAAATTCATACATATTTAGGACCGAAAATGACCCATACCATATATTTTTTTCCCCTTTTTTTTTCCAGTAAGCACTGAAATAACTAAAAAAAAAAAAAAAGGGTGAAATGTTGCATCTACAATATTCTCCATTTGCATTATTAAATAATTTACCAGAGAAATTTGTGCAGAAAGCAAAAATATCACAGCAAAGTTATTTTGTGTAGCAGAACATAAAACCTGAGGTTAAAGTTGTACAAATAGAGATAAACCAAGAGATAAAACGAGAAAAAGCCGATGGTTAACCCTACTACCTAAAAAGCGAAAAAGTATAAAATTATAGAGACATACCAGAGTGAACTTCAGACCGCAGAGCTAGTGAGTGGTAAGAATACAAGCATATCTGTACATTGGCTTGCAGAATAGGCTACCAAGCAGAGGACAGGCAAGGGGGGGACAATATATAGAACAGGTATCCGTTATGCCAAAGTATATATAAGTGGGTGAGGTTAAGTGAGCCAAGGACTTACTGGTGCCCTCAGAGGAATGACTTCCTTCCTCTGTTGGTCGGACATGCCCGCCCGCTGTCGAGACTGTCTTTTTGGCGGCTGTTGAGCGCTTGGCTTTGCCTGAGGGAAGCGATGTGTTTGTTTGATTCACATGTGCCAACCATGTCTATGTCAATGCATAGCTGGTGGACCCTCATGGATGGAAATGTTAGAATAGTTCTTGCCATGTGATGCAGCAAGGCATATACACACATTTCTGAAGACATACATGTCCTAGGGTTGACATATACCAATAACCTTATATAAAATTATTCCATTTGTACACTTTACATTTTCCTAGATTAATAAAAATTCAAGGAACAAACCAATTTTGCCACACAAAGTCTAAAATAAAAAGCAGACAAAATATGAGACTTTGAAATAAATATTTGATTAGTCTTCCACACAAAATACATACAAAAGAAACTTCCTATGAACAATTAAGCTGAATAAAATTACAATGTTGACAACGTATCATAAATGGGCAATATCTTGCCAACTTATCTTTGCCATACCATTAAATTATTTGCCAACATGATTCATGCGGCTGTAACAACCTTTAATGAAAAAGTACACCAAATTATCTCATATGCACACATACATGTGCACACACACATGCACACACACACAAACACACAAGCACACACACACACACATGCACACATCCCCACCACACACATACACGCACACATCTAAACAAATGTATATTTCTATACACATCAACTTAACCCCTGCAATCTGGATAACATGACCATCATGTCATGAAAAAATCTGGCTTGAGGTGCAGGCAACGTGAACATGCCTTCATGGGAAAATCTGGCAGGGAACCGTCATGATAATTTTGGTTGAAGGCCAGCGTGACAGCATATGAGGATAATTAGACCGAGTGGGATTTAAGAAGGGACTTTTGCAATATTTCCATTAATAAACAAGTGTGGAATGTACCATCCGTGAGCCATGACTGGAAGAGCACTAGAACAGGTTGTATTAGAGAAAATCAAATATTATGAAAATATTTAAAAATTACTAAGTAATTAGGCCTTCTTATTGTTATTATTACTGCACTGAGTTACGGACAACCAAATGAGATATTTTGGCATCTGTGCAAGGAAAACCATATGTTACCATCTGGATAAAGCAAATCAAAGACAAATACGGCCACATTAGAAAATGGCAAAAATAAAAAATAAAAAATACTTATCCAGAAAAAGAGAAAATAACATTGCAAAGGGGAGGCACAGAGTCTTTGTCACCACACACGAGTGTTCACATGCACCTAGCCTACAAGCCTCACACCTGGGAGAGTGGCCACATGGTAAAGCCCATATTTTAGGCCACAAGATGGCAGTGATCTATTCAGTCCCAATGGGTTAAGCACAACATGTATATATGTAACTGTATAAAAGGACAGTGACAGATATAATAAGCCTACCCTTAGTCCATTTCAGGTGCATCGCCTTTTCTGCAGTTCATCAGAGAGGACATTGATAACACATTTGATACTTCTTTTTCTCAGACACAATGATGACCAATGCCATGGTTCTACCCTACCTGACTGCCAGTTCCCAATAAGGTAGTGATCATGGGCATATAATTTTTGCTTTAATGTATTTTTTTTCAAGAGGCAGAGGTCAAGCTTGTCCTATAAGCATTACCACTGCAACTTTTTGATGTGCTCTAAAGCTACCAAACCTGATCATTATCAGCAAAGAACAAACTGAATACTATGAACCATTAGACTAGTATTCACATTAAAATAATTTTTTGTTACTCTCTCTGGTTAATAATAAATAAAAACAGCTGAAAACTACACCAGAGTTACAGCATGCATTGTGTGAGGGGGCCAATGAAATCCAATTCACCATTCTGCAGTAAATGGCAAAACGTAGC